GCGATCGGCGGTTTCTTTCAACGACCAGAAATCAACAAGACCTGTTGGAACAAACTGCTGACGTTCGGTATGGTGAACACAAGAATACGCATCTAGTGGTGACTCGTCCGTGAACTATCCCGTGTGCGTGTGGGAAATTCGCAACTTTGTTCCAGATGGGATATTTTGTTGTATGAACGAAAATTTACCCATATCTTGAACGCTATTGGCAATAAAGAACTATCCTCGACCAGCACCGTCATGTGGAAATATAATAGAGGTAGTAGTGAAAGTAGTTACAATAAAGTAGTATTTTTATCGGTGTACAACTGGTCGATGGTATTCTGCGTTTTTTCTTCGGGACAAACCAAACTTGTATTGTTTCGATTTCCACTGTCGATAGGCTTATAGAGATTCCGTCTATCTATCAGTTCCTTAACCACCTAAAGGGAGTTGTACCACGATTAAAATTCACACGCGAGACCAAAAGTGTTCAGTTGCATGCGCACTTTTTTCTACGTCGTCGACGGAGGTAAGCGCATCACAGCATTACATAACATTATTATCACTAATGATTTCAATTTTAATTACTACTGCTAATTATTATTATATAAGAATATCATCGGCTTTATGAAAATCATATCCGCTCTCCAGGAAATTCCGCAGTAGTTTAGTCGCTGTCACAGGCGTGCTTTGGACCTTATGGTCTGAGGCTGGATCCTCGCGACTCAACTTTGGTAGTAGGCAGTTTTATTGCCATCCGGTTCAATAACACGCCTAACCTATCGGGGCCTCTTACAATCAATACATGACTTCATACAACACGTTCAAAAACTATGCGGTATCGATGGAACGTTTAACAAACCGTATTTCATCAAGAACAAAGGTAAATAAAGGCGTGCAAACAAATTACCGATCTAGGAACCGTTGAAATTTCTCTCCGGCCGTATTGTCCAGTAGAGTCAATCCGTGTCCAGCGGAGCCCTCGAAGCGCACAGTCATCCAACACGGTCGACGCTCATCGTAGAATGCTAAATACGAGTCTGACGGACTGGGCAAACCCTCATCCAGACAGAATCCCACATTCAAATCAATGAAATCGATTTCATTGGCTAGCTGATCCGAGGTCGGTTTCTCCCCGGCCACAAACGGTCGCATGCCCAACTTACCGCCCAACTCTTCGTCGGGGACAAATGTCAAATAGACAGTACGGCGCAGTTGGGCAATACCACGTGCCTTCAGTCGGCGTATGGCTTCCAGTTGTTGTATACCGACACACTTCATATCCTGTTTGCCAGGGGGAAACCGTAGAGTGATTTTTAAGGCTATGGATGAATGAGATACAACCAAGATACAAAAGACAAATTATACCGATAGTAGCTTGATCTCATAGAAAAATGAAGAGCAAAAATAAATAGCTGACTTTTAACAAGCATATTATGTATGATACAACAGAATGAGTGAACTTCATAGTTACTAGGATAAACCATTTAGCTATGGGAATCGGCAACCTCAATCCTGGGATTTGGTGTAGTAAACTGGTAAAGCTTGAGGTGATCGCTTCGCCTACAGAAAACTGTTGGCACCATTTAATAAAGCATGGAGTAAAATACGCTAACAATCACTGCTCATTAAGTCGGATACAAAAGTAATCCGTTGATGCTCAACCTGAAATGCCATTTCATGATCGTCCCCAAATCCACGTTTTCCACATGGGCACAAAATGATGTCACTCATAAAACGTCTAGAGTGAGAACGAAGATAATGTCATAACTTATTACAAGTAGTATCTGGGAAAAAGTCAGAAGCATCGAAAGCACCTCTACGGGGGGGGGCTGGCTATAATTCAGAGAACAGCAAAACAGACAACCAGCACAGCACTGACTGATCAAGATCACAAATCCATCTGTCGTAGTTGCGTTTACTTAGGAAGCTAAATATCACCACGGTTGACTGCTTCGTGGATGGTTGCATCGCCAAAAATGAAAGCCGAAACGGCAGGGGGCAGTCTTGATGTAACTAGGATATGCCATCCCCAATATGTAAACCATTATACTACTACAGTGAGCAGTACATCTACTTGGCGCTGATAACCTTAGCTTTCATAGAACTGGCACTGTCCTATCGGAAGTGTTATTGACATTAATCCACAACATTAGATGAGAAATGGTTATGCCATTTGACGGTATTCTTCCTGTAACCAGGCATTCATAGATCATGTGGTGGTGCAGGGGTTTAATCGCTTTCACCAGTGTTCTTTGGACCCTATGGTCCAAGGGGTTCGGGGACCGCCACCACCCAAATTTGGTGGTAGGCAGCTTTGCTGCCGTCTGGTTCAATACCACGCCTAACCTGACGGGGGCCTTATGTGGTCCGGCACTCCAAGTCCCAGGGCTTAGGGTACCTGTTTCCATCCCTGAACAGCATGTCTTCGTGACCATCGGATCCACCCCGTCTGTTGTTCATCACAAAAGTCTAAAGAAGTAGTTACCTGTTCTCGATTGTCCCCTAGACAGCACAGAAAGCATATGCTGAGGAAACGAGGATTATATTTTTCACTACTTTGATCCCAGTTAAAGTGCACTTCCACCGTTCCCAGCTCCAGTGAACTGTTAAAGCTAGCGATAAAATCGATTTTGGATGAGTGCGACAGGTGTGACAACATACAAGGGGGGGGCAGTGCGAAATGAAGGTCAAACAGAAAACCAACCTGAGCGCCCCGGGCATAAATATAACCGTCGTTAGTCAGCGTGGCATCAAATGGTGGATGAGACCATTTAGCCGCGTCCACTGGGACCACATCCATGTGAGAATTGAGCAAAATACTGGGCAATTCCGGTTCGCTGCCGATCCAACGTAAAACAATAATTGGATTTCCACTAAAAATCTCTGTGCGGAAGCTTGTCAGACCGAGTTGATCAGCCTGATCGCGGATCCACGCGACAGCTGGTTCATAATTCGGATTTGGGTGAACCGTGCGAAAGCGTAAATATGTGCGAAAATTGGAAACTGCGACTTCGTCCAGTTTATTTATTGCATCCATCACAGGACAGAACCAATGTCTGAAAAGGAAAAATGATATTAGCGGTGAGAAAAAAGAGAGGAGAGTGTACAACTTGGATGGTTGTTTAGATCTGAGCAAAAGGCTGAAGAAAACTTTATATCACGGAGGCATAT